TATATATATATATATATATTTCAAATATTGAACTTTTAAACAGGATAAAGAAAACAAGGAAGAAAAGGGACTGAGGGACATTATACACCTGAAAAACCTTGATCCACTACTGGCGTCTCTTCTATTGCTGAAAAGGAAATAAACAAACGAACAAACTATGCCACCAGTTTTAAAACTGGTCTTGTTTGGCAAATTCCTTTAATACCTGGTCACGAGAGAATAGCAAACTTCCCTACAGCAGAAATTACTTTGCCATTTTAGAATCAAAGAGATACACAGAGTAACCCACATTTGCAAGAACAGGGGGGACGGAACAAAGAATCTTTGATTTTTTTTGTGATACAGGGGTTAAAATGTTCCAGGTATTTTTCTAAGCATCGCGATGGAATGTCGAGCACGAGTAGAAGTACTGCAGAGACGACATCTGGGAAAGGAGAAATAGCTGACGCAGCGAACACCGTTTCTAGGTTGTCCTAAAACCTGTTTGGCCCTAAACTAAAACATCTAGAAAACCCCAAAACCATATTCATTACCTACATTTACATATTCAACATTTAAGGGGGGGTGGGGGGAGGAGAGCCGAGAAGTGACACTTTGGCTAACACGGCGTATTTTGGGCTGCCGCATTTTCCGCATGTTTTTAAACACACGGCTGACGGCTGCTTCTCATGAAATATCCCAAAATACGTCAGCTGTATGTAAAAATACCCCCCCCCCTTTTCCCATTTCTTAGCGGAGTTGGTCAGGAAATATGGAGGCGTGCGTCCCTTCTTGGCAAATCAGGAGGTTGCACTTCATAAAGACGGGTCTCATTTTCGGAAATGCAACACACGGTTGCTTTCTTCTCCAGAAGCTGATCGAAGCCTCGAGTCCGCCGAGAGAGTTCCCACTGCCTTGAGGTCATTCCCAGTTAGTCTTCTGCCTGCCACTGGGGCTTCCAATAGAACAAAGCAAGGTGGATGCTGCCCACCTGGGCTGGGCTTCCCCCCACGAAAGAACAGGAGTCTGAAAAGTTAGTCCTTGTGTAAATGGCACTGTGGAGTTCAGGAAAGCAGAGGAAAAGGGTGTTAGGAGGACAGAAGAAAGCAAACGAGCGGAAACCAGTTCGCTGGTCCCTGGAGAGAAAAACAAAGCTTCATTAATTTAAAACTCAAAGCACAGCACGGCTGCTCTCAGGACTGTACATCATCCTGTTGGAAGGTAGTAGTGATACAAGGCTGTTGCATGGCTTTGCCTCTTGCTAAATGGAATAAAACCACAGCAGCTGAAGAGCGATTTCAAGTTTTAGAAAAGAGGGAGTAAGTGTTTTATCACGTTGCTACTAATACCACTTTTTCCTGTTTATCTTATTGGGAACAAATGGATGGTTTAAGGGCAGGGGAGTGTAACCTTGGCAACTGTAAGATCTGCAGACTACAACTATCAGAATTCCCCAGCAGGCATGGAGTTAAAGTCCCTACATGTCTTAAAAGTTCCCAAAGGTGGACACCCGATTTAGGGAAACAGTAGCCTGTTTTTGAGCAGACACAATTGTAATTGTGCTTCTTTCTAATTTGCTTCTTTCTGCAGCAATTTGACAAAGGCAGAAAACTGAAGAAAGAGCTCGCTTCCAGCCTTTCTTACGGATATGTCTCCTTCCAAGTGGTTCCAGCAGTTACTCCTATTGTAAGGCCTTCTAGCGTATTTTATTGTGTGTCCTAAATACATCTTTAATTATATCTGCTACTGATGCTGGGTCCCACAAGATATTCAATATTTGGAAGTCTTACAAATTGTCTCTTTAAAAAAGGCCATCTTGAATGAGACGGAATCCTCTTTTTTTTCTACGAAGAACAGATTCACACAAAGTTATAATTTAAACAGAGCTCGCTGGACAATTCAGAGCTAGAGTTACAAATCATACTAAACCATAAATCATTATGAACCTGTTCTGACCTAGGCTTCCCCAAAAAGCACGAAACAGATTCCTGGTCCCAACAAAACCCCTTTTATTAAACAAATGTGAATTCCTCTCATTTCCATTCAACAAAGGCCTGGACAAACAGTCTTTCAAAGGTGAAGTTATGACCACAGATGTTATCTACCTTGAAAAGCTGCCATGTAAATATTTCCCAAACAAGGTGCTGTGCGAGGAAAGACTGGGCACAGAGTCTCTGAGATTCACGGACAGATCTTCACACTCCCGAAACAACCGAATTGTTTCCTGCAAACTTCACTCCCCTTTCGCTCCTCTTTTATTCCTCTGGGAGGGGCCATTCACCGTCCACCTGTGGCCTTACTCCCAACTCGACCTCTGTTCTTTAGCTGTTCCCTGTTCCCTTTGTTTGGCAACTCTGCGCATGCGCACACTGGGAACAGGCTCCAGTTGTTCCTCTGCCTCACTGATGTCCGACTCTGAAGGTAGTTGATAACTGGCAGACGGCTCTGGCCCCCTCTGCCTTCGACACAGAGCCCTCATCAGAGCCTTCCCCAGACTCCAGGATGGGCCCATGTTTCTCCCCAACCTCCTCACTGTTCGAATCTGCTGCCAGCTCCACTGGTGGGCCGCAACAGAACCAGTTACTGAATTTATAACTTCTCTGCAAAGAAACCCATTAAACAGTATGTTCCCCCACTCCCCATTCTCAAGTCTTTTCTGATTCTTGGAGATTGCCTGGAGAAGATTTCCCTGGAGTTTTCTCCGCAGTGTTTTTTTTAGAAGTGGCTTGCCATTGCCTCCTTCCTAAATACGAGAGGGAGTGACTGGCTCAAGACCACTCTGCTGATAAGGCCTTTTAGTTCAGTTCCAACCAGGGTGCAAGTCAGGAAAGTTGCCATCTACTCAAGCCCTTCCATCACACACCGGCATGGCCGTATCTCATGCAAACTCCGGGAAGAAACATCAACCTAGGTCATTCCACTGTGAGCCCTGGTGGTGCAGTGGTTAGAGTGCAGTACTACAGGCTACTTCTGCTGTGAGCTGGCTGCCTGCAATTTGGCAGTTCAAATCTCACCAGGCTCAAGGTTGACTCAGCCTTCCATCCTTCTGAGGTGGGTAAAATGAGGACCTAGATTGTTAGAGGCCATAGGCTGACTTTGTAAACATCTTAGAGGCAGCTGTAAAGCACTGTGAAGCAATATATAAGTCTTAAGTGCTATTATTACTTTTCTTCCTGCCTGCCTGCCTGCCTGCCCTGTGGTTAGAATGTAGTATTGCAGGCTAATTCTGCCCACTGCCAGCAGATTGATCCTGACTGGTTCAAGGTTGACTCAACCTTCCATCCTTCCGAGGTGGGTAAAATGAGGACCCAGATTGTTGGGGGCAAGATTCTAACTGTGTAAACCGCTTAAAAGAGGGCTATAAAAGCACCGTGAAGCGGTACATAAGTCTATGTGCTATTGCTATTCCAATCAATAGGAAGTGGAAAAGCTACCTATATCTAAGACAAAAGAGACACGATTTGGTGTAGAACTAGACATTAAAAGCTAGAAAAGAATTGCAGATAATGCCAACCCTGATCCCTCAATTGTTGCTTCTCCTCAAACATTTCTTTTACAATGTATATTACTGTCTCTTTCAGGAGAAAAGGAAAAGACAGTACAGGCTGTCCTCGATTTACAAGTTTGCTCAGTGGCCATTCAAAATTACACTGGCATTGAAAAAAGTGATTTACGATCGATTTTCACACTTACGACCATTGCAGCATGCAGCATCACGTGATCAAAATTTGCAGACTCAGCAACTGGACACATATTTATGACGATTGTAGTGTGCCAGAGTCATGTGATCCCCTTTTGCAACCTTCTGACAAGCAAAGTCAAGGGGGAAGTCCAAGTCATTTAACAATTGCGTTAACTAACTTAACAACTGCAGTGATTCGCTTAACAACTGTGGCCAGAAAGGTCGTTAAAAGGGGGACGGAACTCCCTTAACACATGTCTCCCTTAGCAACATAAATAATTCTGGGCTCGATTGTAGTCGTACGTTGAGGACTACCTGCAATTAAGAAGCCCAAGATTTATAAGGCAATTTAAAATGTAAAACGTCTTCTTCAAAGCTCCCATCTCCAGGGGCTCGTTTGGAAAGAGAGCAACCAGAAAAAGGAAATAGCAGAACATCCTTATCTCTCCCCTTCTACTGCCCCACACATGTCAGGGGCCCACAGAATTACTGTATTTTTCGGAGTATAAGACGCACCAAGATTTTGAAGAGGCAAATAAAAAAAAACGTTTTTGCACTTTGCAGACCTCCTAAAAACAGCCTTTTTTGTGTGAAAACGGGCCCATTTTCATCAAAAAGGGGCATGCATAGCTTTTAGGAGGCTTATAGAGTACTCCTGGGGGTTGAGGGGCAAAAATGAGCAAAAAAATCGGCCCATTTTTGGCTCATTTTTGCCCTCCCCAGTCCCCAGGAGCTCTCTGAAAGCCTCCTAAAGGCTATGCACGACCATTTTGGTGAAGGATGCCGGTTTTGGGAGGCCAAAAATGCTGCATTCAGTGTATAAGACGCACCCAGATTTTCACCCTCTTTTTGGGGGGGGAAAGGTGTGTCTTATCATCCGAAAAATACGATATAAGGTAGCAAACTTTAGAGATAACAATTGCTGGAGCGAAACCAATACCCCCGTGATGGCAAACCTATGGCATGCGTGCTACAGGTGGCCCACAGAGTCCTCTCTGTGGGTATGTGTGCCGTCGCCAGCTGATCTTCTAGTTTCTGGCACAGTGGTCTTTGCCGGTGCCGGAGCGCCAAAAGCAGCCTGAAAAATGTCCCAAAACCAGGTCGTTTTTCGGGTAGTTTTCAGGCCGTTTTTCAGGTCAAAAACAGCCTGAAAACGGCCCACCAAATGGTAAAAAAACAGGCATGCACTCACCGGCCAGCTGGTCTTTGGGTTTCTGGAGCTCCATGAAGATGAGCAGGCCGGCGCACATGTGCGTACCGAAACCCGAAGTCCAGCTGGCCGGCACACACATGTGCACCAGCCAGCTGGTCTTTGGGTTTCCAGCGAGCGCGCATACACACACATTCCAGTTTGAAACCTCAGTGCTGAAAAAGTTCGCCATCATTGCAAGAGCCCATTATCACTCTGGAATGTCCAGGTTATTTGTGCCCTAAAACGCACTGACAAATCTTCAGCCAGCACAAGAGATGGAAAATAGGATGGTTTCCAAGGGGAGGGGCAGAGGCTTGCACTAGTAGTTCAGCCGCCTAGAGTTGGGACTGTAAACTTCTTTCAACCCACAGGAATGTGCCAATATTCATTCACGCAAAATACAACGTAGGCGTCGAGTGGTTAAAACATCAGTAGCTGATAATCTATCACCTAAGATCAATATGTACCACTCCAATGTACTTTATCCTGATTTTTGGGTATATAATCCTCCAGGCAATGATGCAATTAGGCTCTTAAAAAAAGACTTTCTAAATTAAGAAAACGAAATGAAATTAGCATTCTTCAAAATGAAAAAGGTGTTCTGCAGTCACAACAGAAGCCTGAGATTGAAAATCAGGCTTGTCCGAGATTACATCTTTTCTATCCTGCTCTACGGAGTGGAGAGTTGGTCTCGGGCAGAAAGCCACTGGAAGGGACTAGAAGCCTTTGAAATGTGGATTGACAGGTGGCTGTTACGTGTAAGTTGGGTTGACAAAATAAGAAACGAGGAGGGGATAAGCCGCCTAGGAAAGCCAAGGGAAATCATCAAAACCATTAAAAAGCAAAAGTTAGAATATTTCAGATTTGTGATGCGACACCCAGAAAAATACAGCATACTTCACTTTATCCTCCAAGGCAGTGGTGAAATTCAAATTGTTTTACTACCGGTTCTGTGGGCGTGGCTTGGTGGGCATGGCAGGGGAAAGATACTGCAAAATCTCCATTCCCACCCCACTCTGAGGCCAGCCAGAGGTGGCATTTGCTGGTTCTCCAAACTGCTCAATACGGGCTCCTTCACTTCATCCTCCAGGGAAAGATTGAAGGCAAATGAGGTCCAGGCAGATGATGATGATCATGGCTTCAAAATCTACGGGACTGGTTGGGACAAAACTCAGCAGCACTTTTTCATGCGGCTGTTGACAATAAATAGGATTCCCAACATGATCGCCAACGTCCGATGATGGATATGGCACAAGAAGAAGAAATTAAGAAAATTATGAATTGCTAATTAATTATTAAGACATTTTACCACTTCATTCCAGAATGAGGTGGTTGCTTGTCTACCTAAAAATCCTCTTTTCTGGCTATCTTCTGTTCTAGTCAGGTCGTTTTAGTCGTAATAAATGATTTAAAACCAAAAAACAAGGTGGGCTTGGAAATTGATTGCTTTTTCGGAGTTTTGGCACACTATTTGCCAGAACATCATGAAACCTCTTACCGGCTATAATATAGTTTTTCCAGCAGTTCTTTGCAATTTATTTGGAAAGAACAAAAGTTTGCTTGAATCTGTACTTCCAAAACCTGGGCATCCTTTCGGTGCCCGAGACAGTTTAAATGGGGATAAGGACTACCACCCTGCCATTTATTGAGAGCATTCCTGTTATTTTAATTTGCAAGTTTTCCATCCAAGCCCCATAATCCCCACTTCCTCAGCCAGTCTGCATTGGAAAGACTCCCACATGGTCAGATCTATGGTGTGCAGGTTGGCAAGCTAAAGAAGCAGGTAAATGGTCTAGAAACAATTTATTAATCTAATTTATAGCCCACGTCTTCAAGATCAGGGGAGAAAAGGAATTCTGGACCACACAACAAGTAAAAAAAAAACCCAGCAATAATTTATTTAGCAGCCACTAAGGATGAGTGCTGCTTGAGCATATTACAATTAATTGCCCTTCCAAGCCCAAAAAGCAGATGTTTTTCCCATAATGGGGTTGCCAATTGAAGCAAGCCTCACACAACTTTATACTAAAACCAACACAAAAAATTATATACAGGTAAAAGTTCCCCTCGCACTAGTCGTTCCCGACCTTGGGGGGTGGTCCTCATCTCTGTTTCAAAGCCGAAGAGCCAGCGCTGTCCGAAGACGTCTCCGTGATCATGTGGCCAGCATGACTCAACACCGAAAGCGTACGGAACGCTGTTACCTTCCCACCAAAGGTGGTCCCTATTTTTCTACTTGCATTTTTACATGCTTTCGAACTGCTAGGTTGGCAGAAGCTGGGACGAGTAACGGGAGCTCCCTCCGTTACGCGGCGCTAGGGATTCGAACCGCCGACCTTTCTGATCAACAAGCTCAGTGTCTTAGCCACTGAGCCATTGCGTCCCATCAATCAATCAATCAATCAATCA